CCCATATCCTAAATCCAAGGCGTGAGCCCCAAATCCTACATCCTCAGCCAGCCCTCAGCGCTAAATCCTGACCCCTCAAGCCAAGCTCCTGCATCCCAAGGTTTAGTATTGGAGTTTAGGGTCCTAAGTCTCGGGCCTTAGTAAGTATACTTTTCCCCCTATAAGCCATATAATAACCCTAGTTATCTTTGTTATTAACCAACTTACTAAGTTTCCCTGACCCTCCAAGTAACCCTAAACCCTACACCCTAAACCCTAAACCCTAAACCCCTAAACCCTAAATGCCAGGGCATGGTCAGGGAGGCCACAGCGCTCACAGAGCTTTGCCTCAGCCACTTCCTCAATCCAGGAACGTTTTCAAATGAGCTGTCTTCGGGGTTTCCCAAAATTGGGGGGACCCTTTGGGGGTTATAGGTGGATATGGTTTAGGGTTTAGGGTTTTCCCAGAATTAGGGATAATTTCTTGGAGGTCGCAAATTAAGGGTGATAGTATTTGGGCATCTATGTTGGGGTCCTTGATTTTGGGGAAACAACCATTGTAGAAGCTTCAAAAAAACCAGCATTACGGTTCTGATTCTGTGTATGCTATTATGTAGGCTGCCGTAAATCTATATATTGGTCAACACTCACGCTTCTACATTAGCATTCAGTTTGAGGGGGGCAAGTCTCGACTGTGTTCAATCGTGGGGTTCAGAAAGTTCAGGAAGGCGAAATGTCGAGGGTGTCAGCTAAACCTTCTGGGCATTTTGTACGAACCGTAAACACTAAACCCAAGACCCTAGATAGGTGGTCAGGTTACGCGAAATCGTGGCTCCTTGTCTGCGTGGTTGGTTGAAGTATATTAACAGCATCAACAGCGTTTTGGGAACATAGCTGGGTCGTTATTGCAAGTCCTCCTTAATTTGCATTACAATACACATCACGAGGAAACATGAAAGCACTTTTCTCGTCGGTAACCTATCAAGAAGAAGCACGGAAGTAAATAATTGCGAACCAGCCAATGCCCCAAATGGAAAACCTGCGTAATCCCTGTAATCGGATTCCATTTCGTTGTTCATTTCCTTCTCGTTTGATTCTCCACTGTCCTACTAAGCTTGATGAGTCCCAAACCCAAAACCAAACACCCCAAACCCTGAACCCCACACCCTACACCCTGAACCCTAAACCCTATAAGGGCCCCGGAAGCCGGACATTGAGGAAAGCCCGTAGCCTGCAAACATCGCCCAGGTGCAGCTTACGAGAAGAAGGTCAATTCGAATGAGGTCATGCTCCTCCCCTGGATAGGGTTTAGGGTTTAGGGATTCAGGGTCCAGGGTTTAGGGATTTAGGGTTTAGGGTTCAGGCCCAGGAAAATTTGATTTGAGCTGTAGTCTGAACTCGAGTTATATAGGGGACCATATAGGCGAGCATTATAGGGGTTATTACGAGGGATGCGAGGAGTTTAGACTATAGCGCATTTAAGGTTTCGGGGCGGAGGGTTCAGGGGTGTAGAGATGGAGGGATCGAGGGGTTCAGGGTTGAAGGGTCTAGGGTTCAGGGTTTAGGGGGCTCAGTT